TTTAATTAAACTAGTGCAGATCACTATGCAGATTACTTCACTTTCCTCCTTCTTATAGCCTCAGATCAATTAGTGACATATTCAAACTCAAGCAGCCATTCTTGATATGGTGTTAAAAAGAATGCTTCTCAGGGCATTTATGCTGCCTACTGAAACCAGTGGAAGATCTTGTGCCCAGGTCTCCATTTTACAATGAGGCAAATATACCAAACCATATACAATCCCACAAAATATCCCTTATGGTGATAAGAGCTGGTCTGACCAGCTCATGTTGAAAAAGTTTTCAGAGTGCACACAAATTATTCATTTGAACTATGTTAAGTTTTACACAGCTTTAAAAATCAACAGCTCCTAGGTAGCTATCAGAGGACCAACAAAAAAAAAAATAAATGAACAAGTAAGAATATAAGCCTCCAGCTGGCTCCTATTACATCTTTCCAGCCAGCATCCTCACCATGTAATTATTTAAGCGCACTCTGAGCATTCCCAAGCTAGACTGCCTCGACTTTTCACTTCTTCAGGGAATTATGAGTCACCCAATCAGGCCGCCAGCTTTACTTCACAGATGTCTCTATTCCCAAGACTTCAGTAAATGCCTGGGGAGACGACTGCTTTCCACTGCTTTCCATAATACTCTACGCAACCGACTTAAAAGTGCCCAATCTTGTCAGAGATCTGGTCCTAGCCCTAAACTGGAGTTTTGCAAATCAAAGGTTTCTGATCAACAGATGCTTTGGCTGCACTAGCCTTCACTGAATTCTGCATACAGTTTGAAGCCAAAAAAACCAACAGAGTAACTTGCCATGCCAGTGAGTTATGTCAAGCAGATATTACTTTTATTACTGTTAATGGGGATCACTCCAGCTACGTGCACACTAAGAGAAGCAGCGACTACATATTTAAAGGCATAACGTATACATATTCATTATATTCCAAGGACATGGGCAGAAATTCCAAAAATACTTAACATCTCTTGTGGTCATGGGATGAAGGATGAAGTCATACTCATTCTAAATTTCCAAACTTTTAGGGGGGAGGATAATCCAAACCAGTTCCCACTGATGTTACATTGAGCTGAGGCATCTGTTTTGCCATCTTATCTTCAACAGGTCATCTATTTTACTTTCTTATCTTCACTTGACAAGTTTCGTTGCCTCTGAATTCCATTCTTGAGCTTACATTTACACAAGCCTTCTGTCCTTCAGCTTGTATCCATTCAAGTCATGCAAAAGGTTGTTCTCACAATATGGAAAAGCTATTTTTATGATTCAGTTCTTTGCAGTACATCTCCCAGGAAGCAAGGGAAACCAAAGTTTTTCTCATTTTTGCTGCTACTTTTTTTTTCTTTTTCTTTTTTAAAATACTATACTACCCCTAATCTTCAGGAATTTATTGATCCTGAAGCTCTCAGAAATATTGAGTATCATACACTTGGAACTAGGTACTAACACAGCAAAAAACAGCATTGATTCTCCACACTTCATCTTTCAGAATACTCTTCTGTTTACACATTAGGAACTTCCATTTACACATTAGGAAACCAGAGTAGACTGCAGACCTACAATTTCCCAGATCAGCACAAGAGATTGTATGTATTAACAAAGTAACACCATGTTTTAAAAGAAGATAGAAATAAAAATCTGAACAAAGAAAACATCTGATTTGCTCACGTCCTGTTTGTTGGTACATACTTCATAGTGTGAATTTCTTTACAGTGCAGCTTCTTACAGATATATTGCCAGAAGTAAGCTGATTTTCACCATACTCTGGGAGGCACTGGACATGCAAGGTTGTTAAACCACTCATAACCTTCACAATTGTGAAGGAACAATTGTGATCAAGACTTAAGGAGTTCTTCTGTCCTAGTTGTTAGACACATGTTAACAGCAGAATAACTGAGTGGCGCCTGCTAGAGATCGTCCAGAGGAGTGCCACAAAAATGACACAAGGAATGAAATACCTCCCTTGTGAAGATAGGTTGAGACAGCTGCAGATGTTCAGACCAGAGAAGAGAAGGCTCCATGGATATCTGATAGTTGCTTTTCAGTATCTAAAAGACTATCAGAAGGAAGGGCGCAGACACTTTAGTGAGTCTGCTGTGATAGGACAAGGGAAAATGGTTTCAGCTAAAAAGCAGGAGGTTTAGATTGGATATAATGAGGAAGTTTTTTACAGTTAGAGTGGTGAGGCACTGGCACAGGTTGCCCAGAGATGTGGAAGCCCTGTTCTTGGAGACATTTAAGGTCAACCTTGGATCAGGCTCTGAGCAACCTGATCTAGCTTTAGATGTCTCTGTTCATTTTGGGAAGTTGGACTAGATGACCTTTAAGGATCCCTTCCTACTCAAACAATTCTATGATTCCAAGTTTTTCTTCTGCCCTTAACCATATAGACCCCTTGACCTCCTGTAAGATTTAACAGTACTGTACAGTATGTGTACTAACAGTACACCTAATACTTAACCACCTGTTATGTACATAGAGCTCAACCAAAATGCTGCGACCAGCTCTTTGATTTGCTCCACTCTTATCTTCACTGTGGTTCATAAATTGGATGTGTAGTTCTTACTACAGATTCTCTCAAATCCCTGGACAGAAGCGATTTCTTTCTCACAGATTCTGTTAGCAAACAGCAGTGCTTTTCTACACTGACACACCAACATCATCTCCATAATATAGCAAGGCAACAGCAGCATCTGAGCAATTTATATTGTCCTCGTTTGTTGTTTCATGTGTACCTTTTCACTGAGATTTCAGGGAGGAGGAAGAAGGAAACAAGATATCACAGTGATAAATGTTTACCAACTGCTTTATAGTTCCCCGGGTTGTTAGCTCTTGCACTTACAGAGTTGACTTCTGATCCCAAACAAATGGTACAAGGTGTTAAAAATGATCAATATTTTTTTACAACCATCTCCATTTTGAAAGTTATCTCCAGTGTGGTGTTGGGAATCTGACACCCTGGAAAATAACTATGCTGATACTGCATTTACTAAAAGCAAATAAACAAAAACCAAGGAGTATGATATTCTTGTGTTTTTTTATCTGTATTTATTTTTACCCTCCTACAGTCTATGGGGAGGGGAAAACCAGCAAACTAGATTCTAGGTGACAGCAGTTCAGCAGCTGATACTGTAACTTAAAAAGGTACTACCAGTTAGAGAAAGTAAAAAATGAGTATTTGGTCCTAATTCAATAATAATTAAAATAATAATAATAATTTTAAAAACAGTAAACAAATGTAATGTAAGTATAGGTGTTCTATTTTAACTCAAAACTCTAATGCACACAGCTGAAGAAAAGGCTTGAACTCAAACTAAAATATAAGTTGTTTGAATTGGAAATATTTTACTTCAGGAAACATTTTCATGTGCTGATAAACTCCAGACATATATATATATATATATATAATGAGTATGCACAGAAATTATGTATCTTCCACTTACTGTGAAACATCCTAATTAAGAACAGTATCTGCATTCACAGCAGTAAATGTGATGGCTTCCATGCGAATACTAAGGAGTTAACTTACATCCGCAAGAGAACAGTTGAGGTTAGATCAATTGGAGTTAACAGTGTTACTGGTGCTGTGAATGCTGTTCCCAGAACAGAGCACTCTTTCCTGCAAATGGCAAGCACTCCCTGTGGAAAGAGCCATTTCATGTCTCCAGACATACAGATATATTCTCTCATTGGATATCAGCATCCCCACAGGGGACACAAGATAACATGCCCTCAGAGCACTCTGAGTTCACTTCAGTGATAAGCGAGCTGAATAAATCAGAAATATTCCCTCACAAATTAAACTGGCCTTTTTACCTCACTGGACAGGGAGTGTTTGCTGCTTCCAAACCACTTGCCTAATGAGGACAAAGCTGCCAACCTTCAGGCATGATGTCTTGAAGACTGCAAGAGCTTGGCAATATTTTTAGCCAGTACAGTCAGTTCTTCATGAGGGTCTGGCTCGTATATCTGATGTGGGTAAGCCATGCTACTGTCTCTGTTATCTTGATTTGTGTTGTTTAATGAAAGTAGCCCTCTTCTACATGCCCTCAAAAACAAAACCTGCCGGCATTGCTGCAGTTTCCTCTTACAGCTTAGGTAAGAACAATATGCACTGCAGGATATTTTGGAGAAAATATGGCCAAAAGCCATTTAACCACTGTCAAAGCTGCAGGTGTTCTTGTCATTGTTGCTGAGGCATTGTAAAGTTGTGAGCATTCCTAGACCCCTTTAGTGTACATTGATAAATAAAATGTCAGATCATTTTGCATGGACTAGGAATGCTCTCTAATGGATTTGTCATTGCAAGAAGTTTCAAAGACTGTCTTCAGAATTTATGAATGGCTGTTGTGAAATAACAGATATCTATCAAGAATTTTGTGCAGTATTCTGCTGACAGCAATCTTGTGCAGGCTCTCCCTCTCAAAAGATCTCTCTCAAAAAGGCAAAATTTTATAAAACTAGAGCCCCCTGTAGGGACCCATGGCAGAGACAAGATTCTACAGTTCACCATACACTTACAACAGTTCTGCAGAATTTTCTTCTTTCCTAAGCAGTATGTGATGTCAGTGTATATACACTTTTTTTTTTTTTCCCCCCCCTCTAATAACAAGTAAACTGGAGTTGGGAACTTACTGGCGTACACTTTTCAGTGGTCACGGTTCCTTAAATCTCTACCCAGCTGTATCTAAATCCACTTTGCTCCACCCTTTAGCAGCACATGTTAATCAAGGACAGGATAGGGAGTCCCAATCCGAGAACCCACTCCCTTCCTGGAGCTCTGTGGGGGCTCAGCAAGAGTTACGTCTGGTAACTATGTCTTTTCTACGTTGCTGTGAGCTGGACAAAAAGAGAAAACTTTCCTCTGTCAACTTTTCAGCTTGTCTTGATACTGTATATGGTGCAAGAACAACTGCATGTAGCAGCCTTCAGTGAGGGACTTTGGACCTCTGCTCAAGCTTTCCTGGAGGAATATACAGTATTTCAGGCTGCGGGAAAATGTACTGGCGAAAACATCTTAGGTAAGGCTGCCTGCACTACCGAATATCCCCTCTAGATTAAGGATGGTTTGTCTTTTAATAGTACTTATTTTGATTGTGAATCGGGACAGGATAATGAAAGGAACTAACGTGCCTGGAACCGAAGGTGAAGGCCAATGTTCCCCTCTTGCTTTTGCTGCTTCTGTAACTAGATGGTAGTAACTCCACAGTGATAAAGATATGTACGGAAAGAGAACGTTTAACTGGTTGTCATCCAGAAAGTGTATGATATCTGTATCTTTCTGGAAGAAGGCATAATTACATAGGCATCATTACATAGGTAGTGGGAGGACGGTTAGACTGGATGATCTTGAACATCCTTTCCAACTTTGTGATTCTATGATTCATACACGTTCTTGTTTCCTCTTTCTCTCCCTTCTGTTTCTCTTCTGTTTTTTTCACTTTTTAAAAATTCATAATCTTAACACTGTTGGTGTGATAATTACTGCCGTTATCAAATATTTGTAGTTTATAATTTCAGTGCTAGATAAGTCTTTGAAAATGTTCCTTCCCTCCCTCGAACTCCGAACATCTTTTTTTGTTCCCTGTGTCTTATTAACAAAATCTAATTCACTTATTTGACTTTCGTAGAATTCTTTTCATTGTGACTCTGATGTGGCAGGCCATTCATTTAGGAAAAGGTAAGGAAAACTTTGTTTTCCCACTGCTCCTTGTTTCTTTTATAGATTTGTAGTGTGTATTGCTTCATTACGAGCTATCCTTTCATTTTTGCACTCCATTTCAAGGCCGTGAAAAAGAAGAACTTGAAAAAAATGTGAAAAATGTCAGCACCACAGCACAAAAGCAACAGCCTAAGAATTCATTGACAATTATAGATGCTTTCAGTGACATGAATCAGAGTTACCAAAGCAGAAAGCAACAAGGTTCCAGGGAATTTGTACCTTTCACTGGGATTACAGAGAGTAGGTAACTTTATTCGCTTAAACAATGTCAGAAAATCGTTCGGTTTTTTTGTTTCTGAGGGTTTGTTGTTAATAGAATACCATAATAATCCTTTGATTGTTCTCCTGGGCCCTGAGTTGGTGGAAATCTTCCAACCTGTTGGTTTTCTATGGTAGTTTTTAAATTTTCCCATGGCATGTTACGAAATGTTGCTAAGAATTTAAGGTAAAAGTAGCAGTAAAAATCTCTCATCTGCAAAATGTTTCACACTGATAAAATAGAATGTTGGGAAATAATAAATATTTGGACTCTCGGACTTGGAAGGGAGTTCATAAAATTTTGTAAAGTCTCCTCTATTTTGTAAAATCAATCGTGACCAAAAAGTATTTCACGAAAACAAAAGAAATTGAGCAGAAAAGCTCTATCTCAGGCATCACAGAAAAGCCTGTGGGAACGTTCCCTTTCAGACTCATGACTAAGCGGCACTTCTCCCTAACAATGCCTCCTTTCTTCGAAAATTAGCAGCATTTCCCTGTAATTGCTCTCTTTCTCCGTGTGACTGAGACATGCCTCAGTCAAAGTGAAATAATTCACTTGGGTACGTGCTGCGTCTGTGGGACATGCCAGACCTTTCTTCTTGACCATGCCGTAATCCCTGGTAGTTTGCTTCTAATCCCTAACAAAACAAACTCGGCCTAACTATGCAAACACTCTTAACAAGCAGCTAATTTTATTGTCTCTAAAGACAATAGAACTATGTATGTTTTGCAACTGGAGAGAACAAGTGAGGAAAAAGGGAAGTTCACAGCCCATTGAATGCTTGGTAGACCCAGTGTTGTCTTGCTTTGTAAACTCCTTAATACTGTCTCGCAGGTAAAAATCTGAACAGGAACTGCTGCCAAAATGGAGGGACCTGCATCCTAGGGGCTTTCTGTGCATGCCCAAAGCATTTTAGTGGCCGACACTGTGAACTAAGGTAAAGATTAAATCAAAACCAGGGAGCTCAAGTTCTGTCTGGCTATATCTTGTGGTAAATATCTCCCTTGTCCTTGACAGAAAGTGCGGCAGCATTGCCCATGGCGACTGGGTGATGAAGGGCTGCTGGCTGTGTCGGTGTCTCTATGGCACTCTGAAGTGCCTCTCTCAAAACTTGCAAGACAACTGTGGTAAGGGTCAGTGGTAAATTGAGGGCTTATTTTATTGTGGGTTTGTTGTTTTTTTTTTTTTTTTTTTTTTTTTTTTTTTTTTTTTTACTGGGGGGCAGCAGAATTTTTTTCTGAAATGTTGGTTTACTTGAAGAAATGCTAGATGTGCTCTATTTTAACTTTTTTAACTCTGTTTTGCTTCAGAGAATGTCAGTGAAATAGTGAATAACACAACTATTGCTTTATATAACATAAAATACTGGGAAATCTTTATAATCCTGTTCAGCAGAAAACTATTTTTCCCATTTTAATTTGAAGTTACAGGGATGAATGTTTTCTTCTTCTGCAAAATCTGCATATGCTTGAGTTTCTACACAACTAAGCAATTTGTATAACAAAATTGCACAGTAAATCTATATATATATATATATTTATTTTTTTTTTAAATCAGGAGAAAGAGAAAACAGATGTAAACTATTGTAGTAGTAGAGAACAATATTAAACTAGAGAAATAAGTGCTGAAAATTATAGTATAAGCTGCTCAACACATACAAGTGGCTAAAAATTAGTCTGAATTCTGTGGGTTAATTCTCAGAATACTGCTTTATGAAGTTCTAACACTGAGCATTCTACACAAATAATGTACAGTCAAAGCCATGGCCAGTGTACAGTAGCAGCATATGATCTCCTCAAATGCACTATATTTGTTATCTTTGGAATTCAGTTGGTTAAAAAAAAAAACAAACAAAAAAACCATATAAAGGTAAAGCTCTGAGCATTTTTAAATGCAGTATATCAACAACATTGAAAATTTACAACATTGCTTTGTATATACTTACTTTCCATGGAAAACTGAAAGCTGTTATAATTAACATTTTCAATATCCTGAGATTATTAATAAGAGTTTAATATTATTTTATCTCTATATGCAAAGTTAGTGCATAATATTCTTGCTGTCCTCCATTCTTAATGTTTCACTCTTACCTTGTCAGCATCAAAATTACAGTTTGGCACAAGAGAGAAAACTTACCTAGTCTCACTTGTACCCAAAATAACTACCAGCCTCTTCTTTCCTGACCAGATTCCTATCTGTGTAGCACTGCATTATGAACCTGCAACTCCCGATTTATACTATGCTTCCAGAAATAAACTGTTATTTAACAGCTTGAGTCTCTCAAGTCCCTTGGAAAGGTTAAATTCTTATATTTGCAAGCCACAGATAAACAAGCAATCAAAAAACAAACAAAACAAAACAAAAAAAAAACCTTTGGCCTTGAAAGTTTTCTTTTTTTTTTTTTTTTTTTTTTAATTACATGAAGCAACTAACTGGCAGCAGTTAAGCTCTTCTGAGGAGTTAAATGTTCTAATGCTTTAGCTCTCTTTAGCATTCAGTTTTGAATCGATTATTTCCTGTTACAAAAGCAAAAAGCCTAACAGACCTGGCCATGTTCAGTGAAGGCAGTAATGTTCATTAAAAACTACTCTCCAGTTCCACTTAATAAAGACTGTAAAAGTAATACTGGAAAACCAGTACTTCAAGCAGAGACTCAGTGGCTTTCACATGTGTGAGATGATGGCTTTCTGGCTTTAACCTGGTTAGGGTTAAAAGTCTACACGCAGACTTGGTGCGTTCCTCTTGTGAAGATGTTGCTTTTGCTTGGTATTTACTTTTGATTATTCTGAGATTAATGCCTGCAAGAGCTGATAAGTGATATCAGTTGCTCCTCAAACGATCACTGATGGGACACTTATTCACAGTTTCTCTCTTGAGAATAGCTTCTTTGATTGGTTTTAGCAGCTGATACTTTCAACTTAAGTACCTGTGAGATGTTTCAGAAGTTCCAAAGTATGTTGAAAATCCTCGTTATCGTTAACCATTTTATTTTCTTGATACTTTCGTAGAACTGAGAAGGGAAGAGGAAATTATCAGACTGTATTCTAATGGCCCAAGATTACAGCAAACAATGTCTGCACTGATTTGCCTTCTCACCTTGCTCCTGGAGCTCTGCGGCTGGCAGTTGTGAAGCTGAACAGAAAGATTATATCAGGGTTCCTGTAGCCTTTAACATGAGTTGAACAACTCCTTCTTTAGTAAACTGCAGAAGACACTTATACTTACATATCTAAAGCATATTATGAGGTGTTAGGTAATGATGAAATGCTTGGTTTATTATAAATACAGATTATATAAACATGAAGTATTTATTATTTTATTATTATTATATTGCTACTACCAGTGTCTATTTCCAACAGTTCTTTAGTTTTAAAATACTGTTCTTTCAGTGGAAGAAAATAACTAAAAAATAACTAAAAATAACTAAAACTAAAAATGAATTATCTGGACTAGTATTAAATGGGGAGGTTGGTGGCCCTGCATGTGGCAGGGAGGTTGGAGATTCATGATCCTTGAGGTCCCTTCCAACCCTGGCCATTCTGTGTGATTCTGTCATCTCCATGCCTCAAGTATAGTAAATTACTTCAATTTCGTTTGTATCCTATACAACTACTTTAAATAAATAACAGTGGTTTTATTGTCCCTGAAGAGCTTTACTGTTTGGTTTTATTTAATATGAAAATTTTGACTACCATCTGGTTACCCTATTGTATTCAGTAACAAAATGGTAACAAAAGGGCAGGTAGCACGAACAGCCTGAAACTTAGAAAGATAAGGAGGATTTTAATAGGATTTCAAACACTATTGTTATGGAAGAACTAGAAGTTAGAAAGCTTTTCAGTTCTTGTTGTTATTCATTGTAGTTAAAATTGTAACTATGCATAATATTAGGCAGGAAGTAAATGTTTCTGAGGAACACAGAGCATATAATCATTTGTTCTTTGAGAGTTTATTTTGTTTTGTATCCTAAAAATTAAAGCCCTTTTGTTTATAAAAGGGCAGTGAAGGGCAACCTCTTTAATATTTTTCATTAGGAAATATGTCCTGAACTATATATGTTATTTAAATATGACTATTTCTAGGCTGTGAAATAAAATCTAAAAAAAGAAAAATATTCGGAAAACGTAACTGCATTTGTGATGCAAGTTGATAAGACATCAAATACACGCTTATTTAAAAGAAAGAAAAAAAAAAAAAAAAAGAAGTAAATGCCAGGCTAAACGTTCCTTCATTCTCTCTGTGAAGCTACTGCACAGAAACAATCAAATTTTAATTTTATTGGCTCTAAAGATGCTACTGATTTTTAAAATCACCAAGGGGCTTTAATGACATTCAAAAATTAAGTAGATGCAATTCTTAATTTTTAAAATAAATTTTCTTGGTGCATCAAACCAAGACAAAAGCCCAGTTGCTCAACAGAAAAAATGCATTACCAATAAATGTTTTAATAAGTTGAATCAATGACTATTCCATAACTTCTATAGGGAGCCACAGTGTGAAAACAAGAACACACAAATACTACAAAGTATTCAGGCTGCTCCTTTGAACACCTTGGAGTTAAGAAGTAATGTTTTTTACCACATATAATATAGTGGACCAGAAATGGCTTTTTTTCTCGTAATATCACCACTATCCTGTCTGTACTCATATACCTATGTTTGCACAAGCTTTAGAAACAGGGTGCTATCTAAAGGCAATTATATATCAGAGAGTGAACTGGAGGAAAATAGCCTTGATTTATCAGACACTGACTTATGATGATATCCCATTGTGAAAGCATCTTTGTTTATCATAAAACATACCTGGAAAGAAATATGTAATGTGAAGGCATGTAATGACCTTAAATATACTTTACTTTTTGAGGGAAAGTAGCAAAATAAGTGGAAAGTAGACTGTACAGTAAAATACATCAGGAGTAATACTTAATTTTTTATCTCTATAGAAAATGTACAGAACCATAAGAAACTGCAGCTGACAAAAGGAAAGAATGACCTAATAACAGAATTTATGACAGAAGAACTATTTCTGTTGTAATAATCCACAGCAGATTTTACCAGAAAGACTTGATCTAGAGTAACTCCTTATGCAGATAAGCCTATGTCCCTGCAGACTCACCCTGATGGAACTATACATTATCAAATTAGTTTATCAGTGTACCCAAACAGTAGCCCAAGGCATGTAATTAGAAGCATCAAGGTATATTTTTAAAGCACTGCATAGGAAACCTAGTTGTGTAAGTAATTCCAACTAATGTCAGTGTAAATTTGTGGTAAATCTAAATGCTAGGATTTGAAAATTTTATCCTATGTACCTAAAAGGACTGGCAGACATTTTTTGTGCTTGCTATTTTTTTATGATAAAAAATAATTTTCCCTATTTTATGCCATTTACATTACTAGGAAAATTTTACTAGCAAATCTGAAAATGATTGTTTTAATACTATTTGGCATCTGCTGTATTATGGTGAAGTACATGCTCACGGTGAGTTGCAGAGGTATTTGCCTGGCCTGTGTGTCAAGGCTCTGTAAGATGCCGTGAGTAGGCAGAACAAAAAAAAGAGTCTGTTATCCTTGCATACTTCTGAGACAGAAATGTCCACAGGAGTTGAGTTTAATAAAAATAAATATAATAAAATAAATATAATAAAATAAAAATAATTAAAATAATAAATAATTAAAATAAAGGAAAAGAAAAATTTTTTAGGATCTGATCAATAAATAGTCTTGTACAAAAATTAAATAATTTTAAAAAAAGAAAAAAAGATGAAAATTGGAAGTTCTGAAGAACAAAGGAAAGCATGCAGCCTCTACCTTGCTTAGGTTAAGTCTGTCTTCACTTTTATCTGTCTCCATCTGCTTGCAAGAATAGATGAAAGAAAACACTATTTTCTTTCCCTACTGGCCTGGCCAACCTTCAAACACCACAGTTACAGTCACTTCAGTAAGATTTGTTTGTAGCAAACAGTGATGCTTGCTATCCAGCCTCACGCTAACTCTTTTTATGGGTCTCTCCATCAAACCTAGCACATCTTAGCAAAATAGACAATCTGTTGCAACAAGTTCATGCATGTGCCCTTTCTATGTGGCCACATTTGGACAAGGGAAAAGCACTCAAACAGCATTTATTAAATGCTTCATAGGTCTCACAGCCATTAGACTTTCCACTGTTTGCAACTGACTCCAACAACAAAACAAATGCCTGGAATCTGCATCTTTGCCCCTGCAACTGGTGCAACTCCCTCATCTCCTCAGGGCACAAGGCAGAAGAGAGCCCCAGAAAAGGATGCCTTTTTGTAGACGGGGCAGCCTTCTTCACACCATGTACCCTTCACTTCCTTGCAGCACTGTGCTACGCAGAACAGAATCATAGGATCACAGAAAAACCAAGGTTGGAAAAGATCTCCAAGATCATCCAGTCCAACCACCTATCACCAATAGTTCTCACTAAACCATATTCCTCAACACAAAATCCAAACATTCCTTGAACACCTTCAGGGTAGGGTCAGTGACTCCACCACCTCCCTAGGCAGCCCATTCCAGTACCTGACCACTCTTTCAGAAAAGTAGTATTTCCTAACGTCCAGTATTTCCAGCCTAAATCTCCCCTGGCACAGCCTGAAGCTGTTTCCCTCTAGTCCTATCACCAGTTTCACAAGAGAAGAGGTGGACCACCAGCTCGCTACAACATCCCTTCAGGTAGTTATAGACGGTGAAAAGGTCTCTCCTGAGCTTCCTCTTCTCCAGACTGAACAATCCCAGCTCCTTCAGCCGCTCCTCATAAGGTCTGCTCTCCAGACCCCTCACCAGCTTTGTTGCCCTTCTCTGAACTCGCTCCAGGGCCTCAATGTCTTTCTTGCAGTCAGGGCCCAAAATTGGACACAGTACTTGAGGTGTGGCCTCACCAGAGCTGAGTAGAGGGGGACAATCATTTCCCTGCTCCTGCTGGCAACACTGTTTCTGATACAAGTCAGGATGCCATTGGGCTTCTTGGCCACCCAGGCACACTGCTGGCTCACATTCAGCTGAGCATCAATCAGTACCCCCAGGTCCCTTTCCTCTACACAGTCTTCCAGCCACTCTGCCCCAAGCCTGTAGCATTGCCTGGGATTGTTGTGGCCAAAGTGCAGGACCCTGTATTGGCCTTGTTGAACCTCATCCCATTGGCTTCAGCTCAGCTATACAGCCTGTCCAGATCCCTCTGTAGGGCCTCGCTACCTCCAGGCAGATCGACACTTCCAGACAACCTGGTGTCATCTGCAAACTTACTGAGGCTGCACTCAATGCCCTCATTTAGGTCATCAATAAAGATATAGAAGAGGATGGGCCCTGGCACCAACCCCTGGAGAACACCACTCATGATCTTGAACTCACAAACTTTGCAGGGAAGTCTGCCGTCTGCTCTAACAAACTATCAATGTAAAGGAAATGATCCATTTTGAACCTAGTGCTCTAAGGCTTTCTAATACAAGCCTGAAAAAAACAGTTTACAGACAGTAGAAAAGTGTAATTTCTTTAGCTCTTTAAGTATTTGATAGTTATCTCTCAAGGCAGTTGATAGAACCTAATGGATTATTTTCTTACTGTTATTAAAGTGCCTGTCACCGCAAAGTCTGGCTGCAAATTACAAGGTAAAAACCCTGGGTGTGCACACTCCCCTGCTTCCTTCATGTTTTTATTATCCCTGGTGATTTTGCTGCTTTTTTTTTCCATCTTCTCCATGCTGCTCCTAGACCCCAACACTGGCAAGTGCATCATTCACCGGAAGACAGCATCATCAGAAGTTAACAATAGAACTCCTAACTTTGCAGTCAGATACAAGTGTGACATTGAATATAACACTAATAAATGTCTTCTTAAGCCTCACAGTACTAAAAAAAACCAAAAACCTGAATATATCCAAAGCAAGTATCTGAATGCAAGGTATCTTTACCTCCCTCCCTTCCTTTCCCCCTCCCTTCCTTTTTTTTTTTTTTTTTTTCATTCTCTATTTTTTATCAGTTTTTGTTTTCTTTCTCTCCTCTCTTTCTCTGTTTCCTTCTTTCTTTCCTTCTTTCTTTATTGTTTTTTCTTCTTCTTGTTTTTAATGCAGTCTTCAAAAAAGGAAGATACTATTACCTACTTCTTTCACTAC